TATATATATATATATATATATATATATATATATATATATATATATATATATAATTTAGTACATAAAAGCAGAGGTGTATTAAAGAGCATTTGCAATTGATTGTTAGATGATCAGCCCATATATTTAGCAGCGAAGATGCCCAAGTTTGCAGAAATAGGCTTACTGTGATCATTTTGCAATACACAATATGCCAGATACTTGTGTGATATGCTTAACCCAATGCTGCTGGGGAAATGTGATGTCTACAATAGTGTTATGTGAAATGTATCTACAAATAGAAGGCTCCATTAGTTCACATCCACCAAGGGGTCAATATGTAGCCTGCGTTCCCTCACCTGATGTTTCCCGTCCTTTAGTTTTCAGAGAAATTTAATATTTGTAAGAATACAGTTGTTATTATTATGGATGTTATAATTATTAGTGTTATTAATAATGTAAATTGCAATATAGAATTTGAAAATCAAGGGAAGGGGAAAGCAGTTGAGTTTGGTTGGACTAGTGATTTACTCATTGGTGACTAACCACTCGAGGAACCATCTTTGTAAATAAAATTATTAAAGTGAACTAATTGTATACATGGCATGCGCAAATGTCATCCCAGTGGACTTAGGCAAACACCTCAGATAAAGGAAAGAAAGCCAAATCGTGTGATTGTAGCACTTCATGAGATAAAATTCATGATCAGTAGCCATTATTCATTAGACATTTCCAGTAATTTAGCTTTTTCTTTTAACAGGAGAAGGTTATTCATGGTGTTGGCATTGCTACAGGACTATGCTTCATCCCTGCTTGGGTCCTAGCAAACATCAAGCACTACCGTGGCCGTGAGGAATAAAGCAGACCTAATCGATAAACATCTCCAAGTAACTTGAATTGTAAAATAGTAAAATTCACAACTTGGTTAATATATTCTGTACGAAATGTCTCCTTCATTCCAAACAAGAACATTGTGGAAAATCATTTTGTAAATAATAAATTATAGATAAAATATATATACATTTTTTGTTACCCTATATAGCTATGATAATTGAATATTAGTAGAATCTTATCCAAGTAACCCCCACCCACCCATCCTTTGCTCATTGTTGTTGTTGGGGGAGGGGGGGAGACAGCAACTGAGGGTCAAAGTAGGGGATCACCCATACCTTGGACTTAAGCCCTTCCTCTCTTCCAACATTCTCTACTCCATCCCCTACTACACAGTCTTCATTGTTTACCACCTCTTCCCTTAATACTACTTTTCATCCTTATTGTCCTACAGAACTACTTCACACCACCCCATCTTCGTCCCACCCTTGTCCTTCTGTTTCCACCTCTGCAAACCTTTTGAGTACCCTCTTTGGCCCAGCCAAGTGGGATTGATTCTTTGTGATTCCCCCCACAGCCCCTTACTCTGAAAATACCTTTCTCTTCCAACAATGTCTCCAAAAACAAGTAGGCAAAGTTTCCTTTCCCAGTCATTTTGATTATTCATGCCTTGTCACAGTTATCTAAATCCCAAACTCATGCCCTATCTATCCAGACTGACATCACTGGCAAACCCATTCCTACCAAACCCCACTTATATTAATTCAATACGTGTACTGGAACTGTTTGTCTACCCGACTGATTGTCCTATATACGACAAGAACTGGTCAGACTGAAAATTACTTACTTTCCTGGCTTGCTGATTATGATGCAGTGGCAGTATAGTGTAGCCAGCAAAAGTCCCTTACCAATATTGCCAAGATTAGCTTCTGTAGACATGACCCCCATGAAGTTTATATTGGTGGAGAGTCCTGCTTTGTCTGACCATATTGATCCCTTCTTTGTCAATGTTAGAAATGTTGGTGTTGGCCACCCAGCCAAACAGTGTCAATCCACAGCCCGCTGCCCTCTGTGCCCCCAATCTGGTCATTACCGTTTAAATTGCTCTGGTCAGTCACGTACATCTGTCAGTTATGGTGACTTCTATAATGTATTTTATAGGGACTGACCTGCCCATAAGCCTGAATGTGAGGTAACAGGCAGGAAACACGTCGACACTTTTTCTCTATCTATTCTTAAATAATCCCTTGCTCTGCTCCCTTCCTATCTTCTCATACTTCTCCAACAGCCATCTGTGTTTTCCTTAAACAGTGTCCCTATTCCTTCCTCGGTCACAGATACACTGCAATGAACTTAGTTGCCCCAACCCCTTAACCCTTTCCTTTTATCTAATTACTGCTCTACTTCATTTACTCCCCACTTTTCCCTTTTCACTACTATACTATCCTATAATATTCTTAATACATTTATTCTAATCTTTAGCTTTTTCGCCACAATACTTAACCATATTGCTATTCCGCCTTTGATGTCTAGCACATTGATTTGTTTCAACCATTAACCATTACCACTCCAAAATTGATATTCCCGCGTGACTCGCCTTTGTCACAACAATGTCCTCCAAATCCTTCCCCTCTTGACATTTTTCCTGAGACTTCACCACCTTCCCCTATTCCCTTATATTATTCTATGCTTTATTTTCCAGCTTCAACTACCATTACTACCTATAGTACTCATTGATTGTTTCATAATGGTTCCTTTGCAGTTTTCCTCATACACGTTACTCTTCCTTCCTTGGATATATGGATACTCATTTGATTTCATTGCCCTGTGCTCTTAATCCCTTCCCCTTTCACATCCTTTTCATTACCAGACTATCCTACAGTACTTGACAACCTTCAACATCTAACACATTTTATCCTAATAGTTAATTCATTTTAACGTTTTCCCCACAATACTTGCTTTTACTGCTCTATGGCCATTGATGTCTTGCACATTTATATGTTTTAACCCTTAACCATTCTGGGAATCCACAAACTGCCTTACAAGCCAAAAACTTCCTAACCCCAGGGTCTTTGCCCCCAAGCCTCACACTATCGTGGTATTTTGAATATGCCACTAATGACCGTAGATACTGATGCAGCATAAGTATTAAGTAAATAAAAATTAATTATCCAGGAAAATTATTATTGTGCTTGCTTTTCCCAGTCACTACATTGATGTGAATAGATTAATACAAAAGTTCCCTCTTACTTTGAACTATACTCTTGGAAGGGGGACAAGGCACTACACAGCAGTCAATTTTATTTTTGCATTAAAGACGCCATGTTACCCAGTACTTTAAAGAATGCCTCGCATCCACTTGTACAAGTGGATCTACTACATTTATTAAATGAAAAAAATCATGCCATTTCATTTGTAAAAACGAATTGAAACTGCTTTGAAAGAAAGTTACTTTCATTTCAATTATTGTTGTGGGGGTTGAGGACTTCGAGATGGAGACTGAGGCCCAATGTAGATCACAACTGCCGTGGACCTCAGCTCTTGCTTCAACTTATTTTGTGTGGTCTTTTCTTCCCCCTTTTCTTTTTCTTCTCTCCTTCATTCACTTCTGTCTACATCCTTGAGTGTGAAAGCCATGCTGAAATAATGAAAGGCTTGCTTTGTGTCAGTCATGAAAGCCCTTCGTACTCAAAAGTGAACCATTTCTCTTCTCTTATGTATCCTTATTAAGCCTAGTCCAGACCTAGATAGATTGTTGTTCAACATTGTATCTGAAACAGATTCTCCACAAATCCAAAAATGTCTCACAACTGTTGCGAGACATGACTTCATAATAACGTCCAGACCAAGATAAGTTGAGCAACAATCCAGCAACAAAGGATCTTTAAAGTCGCGCATCACCAGTTGAACAACAATCCAAATATGTATCGCAGTTGTTGCTCAGGAATTCTGAAACATGATTTTGCATGTTTCTGTGTTTCCCACTGGATATGGGAAACAAGACACAAAACTGTGGGAAACATAATTACCACCTGTTGGCCATTGGTCAGTCATTTGCTTACTTGTGCTTAGTTGCTGGGTTGCTCTGTGCGATCAAATACACGAAAATACATGCATCAAGGGTTTATGGAATCTCTATTATAAGTACGTGATATTGCCTGTATACCATAGATTAGTCACTCCATAATTAAGGAGGTGCTGCACTAGCAGGAAAGAGAAAAAGCCTGAGAAATTAGAGAAAAGTATCCAATTAGGAAGATGTGTTGACTAATATAGGTAAGTGCTGACAGAATAGTTTAGAAAAAAAATGCTGTGTTGACTCTCATAGCTTAGTGTCATCAAAAGCTTTCACATTTTGTATTTTAAAAATAATCAGTAAATAATGTCAGCAATTAATTTTGAGTTAATGTGCTGTCAGCTTACTCTGCCACTATATTACCATTACTTTAACTAATTTCAATAGCACCTGGAGCTTGTGACCAACTACCATTCTCAGTATGTCCTTGAACATTAATAATATACCATAGAAAACCATATTGGTTCTGGATGTACAACAATGTTACTGTTCAACAACCGTCAATTTAGCTACAATTTGGTGCGTGTTTCTCGCAAAATAAAGTGACTCGTGTTTCGCAACAGTTGCCCCCCCCGCCCAAATTTTGTTGTCGGGGGCTTAGGAGATGGAGATTGAGACCCAATGCAGGGATCTCCCCTGTCTAGGGTCTCAGCCCTCGACTCAACTAATTTTGCATAGTCTTTTCTCCCTCCAGCTCTTTCGTTTCTGTCCCTTCTTCAACCCCTTCTACTCTCTACTTGCTAAGGTGTAAGAGTCATGCTGAAAGGATGAAAGGATGACTTTCTACCAGTCCTGAATGGCCTGTGGGAACCATGGGCACGGTATTCCCATGTTTTGTTGTTTAGCCCTTACCCCTCAAGTGGACCCTGAGGGGCAGACTGTTTATTTCCCTAGCATAGCCAAGGCTTCCTATGGCCAGTAATGAAGAAGTAATGCCCATATTAGGGGCAATGAGGCGTCTCTTCATCAAAGAGCCCCATCAATTTAAACTCTCCCGGCTCCCCGACGCCAGGCTCTCCTTTGACCATGACACTGAACATTACAACTACTACCCACTCCTCAAAGCCTACTAGTGCAAGTATCAGTGCAGTGCTATACTATTCCCCCTAGAGACCACCTAAAGTCCTACACCAGTATTGCTAAGATTAGCTGCCATAGACATGACTTCCCCCATGAAGTATTTATTAGTGGAGAGACCTGCCCGGTCAGCGTTGAAAATGCTGGTGTTTGAGCCATCCTGCCAAATACTGTTGCTACACAGCCCCTGCCCTGTATGTTCCCAACCTGGCCATGATCATTCCAACAATCCCTGCAAAATCATGCACAAGTGCCAATTATGGTTGTTCCCATAATGCATTTTATAAGAAGCATAACTGAAGAGAGGAAAATTTCCAGTGTTGGTTTGAGTTACATCTCAGTTACCTCATGTTAAAAGAAAAAATATATACACATGTATATATATCTGTTTACAAATATACATATTTATATACATATATGCATATATTTATATTTAGATACATAATCATATGCATATACATATATATTTATATACATATACACATATTCATATACATATACATTCATATACATGTACACATATATTTTTATATACATATATACTTATATATATATATACACATTTATATACATATGCTTATACTTATATACATATACACATATATTATATACATGTACATATATATATATATATGAGAGAGAGAGAGAGAGAGAGAGAGGAGAGAGAGAGAGAGAGAGAGAGAGAGAGAGAGAGAGAGAGAGAGAGAGAGAGAGAGAGAGAGAGAGAGAGAGAGAGAGAGAGAGAGAGAGAGAGAGAAGAGAGAGAGAGAGAGAGAGACCCTACCTTGGACCACATCTCTCGCCTTAACTAATTTTGCATGTTTTTATCCTCTCCCCCTTTCCATTTCCTTATCTTCATTCACTTCTGTCCACATCCTAAAGTGTGAGAGCCATGTTAAAAGGATGAAAGGCTGGCTTTGTGTCAGTCCTGAATGAACTTTGTACTATTCCCTCTTTACCCTTTTCACTACCATACTATCCCACAGTGTTTGACATCTTATTTTTTACCTTTCCACCACAAATCTTTATCATAATGCTGTATGACCTTTTCCTTACATGGGGCTTTGCTACTAACTCATCATTATAGTTTACACTAATATTCAAATACTCCTTTATGACTTTATCACCACACTGTAAATTACTTATCATTATATTGATTCCAGTAATATATTAAATTTTACTCACGTATAAAATCCCTATCACTTTATTGATTCTAGCTCACTGATAAACTCATGAAATCAAAGAGGACAAAAATATGTGAAATAAATAGCTGAAACATTATTCCCCTTTATTTATAGTTTTGTGACATCTTTCAAATAAAAAGAGCAATAAGGATAAATGCATTCTTCATTTGCTATTCTGTCACACAATTACAGTTTGAAGGAATCAGTTCATACCTGAGCCAAATTATGGAAAGAATCTCTTATAACATCCAATCCAGGAGATAAATTTCCTTTGGATTCATATCAGTAACAACTGTTTGACAACTTTCTTCATAACAATATGGTGAGTGATTATAAAATACTGACAATACAAAGAAAAAAAATACAATAATTAAAAAAAGAAAAGAAAAAAAAATAAGGGCAAAATTAAGTAACAAACAAATCCTTAATATTAAATTGACTTTTTTTTAGGACACTTGCTAAGTCCACTGTCAAAAGATAAAAGAGACAGATATGTCAACAAATTTTGTTTTGGAATGACAGCACAGATCCATAAGACTTAAATTTAAGACTTAAATGGGTCTTTTTAAGGAAACTTTGTTCTTTCTAAAATTCAAGTGCAACACTATACAACACAATATCAATCACACATATTATTTAGGAGTTTCTTCAAACCAAAGCTTGTGTATACTGGGAACTTCACTTCAGATGAAATAAGTGAAATTCAAGCCTTATGGCTACTCGCAAAGAACAGTATTAGAAAAGTTGATGGGAGTGCTTCATATAAACATTTGTATACAATGTGACTTATGTAACCACAAAATAGATTTAATTTTGAATTCATTTGTACTGTTAAAAGTCAACTTTCAATCCTTTTGACAATATTTTTACAACTTAACTGCATGAATTTTCTGACTACACTTTAACGTATTTTGTTAACTGTTATTAAGAGTAATCACATGCTGAAAATCACTGAAATACTGCATTAATTTCATCTGGCTTGCAAAATGAAATTGTTATAATTTCTTTTGCAGTTCATATACAGATCACTGAAATAACTCCATTTGCTAAATAGTTATATGCTAATGGTATCAATATTACAATGAAGAAACATTTGCAGTTATTGAAAATATCATCTTCTGCCTCCTGTTTTTAAATGAATAAATAATGATAAAAATAACCATACATATAAAAATGTAATGATTTATATAAATAGATACATGTCCATTCCACAAAGAAAATGTAGGCTACAGTTATGAAGTATTCTAGCATGGTTAACAAAACTTTATCTTCCATTACTTCTCAAAATCTGAATTCATAAGGTTATCCCATTTTCCTACAAAATGCAGGGATTTCTTGAATATTATAACTTGTGTATATTCTTTCCATCAGGGTTGGCAAAAATCAAATTGCATTCTTTAGTAAAATCTACCTATGTCATATCCGTATCACCACATTTAGCTTGTTTCTCTTTAAATGAGTGACTTTCTGAGAGATAATAACTGACACCATTCAAATATTAGCCTGGAAAGCAATTTCTACATTTGATATTTTATATTTCTAAAAGGCTGGAAAGCAGTTTTTCTTTAAGCTTTATATACAAAGACTGACTAGAGAACTTTGAGAACCAGTATACCTCATTCTTGAGGAGTGTGCACTGTCAATAATCTAAATCATAAATCATCTTTAAATCAATTTCTTGTAGTATCAAAGCTTTATAGGCCCTTAAATATGTTGATGTGTTATGTAACATTCAAATTTTGCCTTTATTTAAAAGACAATATATGACTGACTCTTAACCACCTGTGTACAGTGATGCTTATGCAGCATTATTGTGGTAGGTGTTTGGCCAAAGGCAATTTGTTCTTCCAATATTACTATGTGGCCAGCTATTCCCTTTTTATTCTTTCTCTCAACACATAGACTTTCATTACATATCCCTATCAACAAACCATGAATATCATGGTTACATAAAATACAACTTCTTACTTAAATAAACTAAAATAAAAATCTGAATCACATATATCTTCAATAAATAAAAGAAATACAAAAATCAAAAGGATCACACTGGCCAACCCTGATCAATATACAATACATTTTATATAAATTCAGCTCAAGGACTACAGTTCAGGAGATGATCTGCATGGCAATAATATAACTGTAGCCTGAATGGTATTTCAAAGGCTGATGATGAATTATCAACTGATTCAGACAGTTACAGAAAAAGCCAAAGGTAAGGCAGAAAGGAAAAGACAAGAAAAAAGGGCTGTGGTTTTGTAAGAGCATTTTACAGTAAATCGAACATTATATATAATTATATAAAATAAAAGTTATGCAAGGATAAGCAATTTAAAATAAAAAGTAACTGTATATTATTCACAATCACACAGTCTTGATGACAGTCTGAATTACATGAACTGCAAAAGAGTAGTTATCATGTACAATATAGGTGAAGGTCAGTATTTTATGTATTTCAATTTTGTTAAAATTGTTTCATTTGTTTCTTCCACCTTGTACTCTGGATAGTGGTCAATCATCCATGAATATCTTAATCAAATTATAAGACATAATGTGCAAATGAAACAGCTAAACATGTGCTTTATCACAAAAAACAAGAGGTCTTTCTTTAAAGTAAAGTAACTACAACAAGGATTGCTATCCTTGCAGGCTATGACTTTATTAACTGCTTTAACATCCTCTCTTAAGAATCTACAGACAGTGATGAATCCCTGAATTACCCAATTGCTTCAAAATACTTGGAAGTCTAAAACAGTATCAAATAACTGTAAGAGGTCATAAACATGCTTTACAAAAAGTTTCTTTACATAAAAAGGCTTATAATAACAAGTACACAAATAACTTCTGTCATACATTCCTTTGGGTATAGATACAAATTTTAATGGATGTTATAGACCCATATATATTATCACATTTAATTTTTACAATCTCAGATGAACTTATTTTACAAATAATAGTATACTCTATTTTCATATTTGTGTCTGCTAAACAGAGAATGAATCAACCATTAAGAAAAAGGAAAAGACAAAGATAGAAAGAAAAGGGAAAATGAGGAAAAGATGGAGAAAAAAATGCTTTGACAAGACACACAAGGCCTGTAACAACCTGCCCTGTTACTGTGTGTTTCGCGAGGCCATGGGCCGGATGCCAACCTTTTGAGCAAAGTTAGAGACTAGGTTTCCCAAACCGGACTCATTGCGTCCATTAGAAAAATTTAATCCTATGGAAGTGACGTAGATACTGTAGAACAGGGACCGCACCTGGAAATAATAAAAAAATTAACGCCAGTTCTTCAAAACAAATTCACAAATAAATCCTAAATTAATACCTTTAACCAAAGAATCTCGATTTCCACCAAGAAGTCAACAAACTTAATTGATGTTTTGACTTTTGAGCCTCACTCTCACTCTTACCTTCCTGTTCTCACTCTCTCTCCCATTCTCCTTCTGGCCCTCTCATTCTATCACTCTCTCACGCTTTCTCTCTCCTCCTCTCTCTCTCTACCCCTCCTTCTACCCTTCTCTCTCCCTCTTCCTCCCCTCCTCTCTCTCTCTCTCTCTCTCTCTCTCTCTCTCTCTCTCTCTCTCTCTCTCTCTCTCTCTCTCTCTCTCTCTCTCTCTCTCTCTCTCTCTCACGCTCACTCGCTCACTCGCTCACCGCTCACTCGCTCACTCGCTTCACTCGCTCATCTCTTCACTCACGCTCACTCACTCACGCTCACTCACTCACACTCACTCACTCACGCTCACTCACTCACGCTCACTCACTCACGCTCACTCACTCACGCTCACTCACACTCACGCTCACTCACTCACTCACGCTCACTCACTCACGCTCACTCACTCACGCTCACTCACTC